TTTCACCTATGAAAACTCCCCTCCTTCCTCCTAAGGGTTTGTTCCGGTGTCCATCATTCCTCCTTCCCCCACGTCTTACTCATTTCCTTGTCACTGCCCAAGATAGACCCGCGTGTAATTTTTTTTTTTAGTTTGGCGCTTTGCTAGACAAAGAAATGGCTCTCATGTGAACATTTGTGGACGTACCTGGTTGTTGATTCAGATGGACCGACAAGAGGCTAGGACATCTTTCAGCATCGTGTTTGACATCAGAGGAAGATTTACGCCTAACAAGAGTCTATTTCTCTCGAGGTCTTTTTGGAGCCCTGGGAGTAGGTGTTTGATGATCTTGGCAAAGCCTGGATTTTCTCGTGTGAAGGTGTGTTGAGAGAAAGAAGCAAGAATGACAACAGCTGTAAATGGCGACGGCGGCAAGCGCGGCACCCTTTTTGGGTGCCAGAAACAACTGACTTTTTCCTTTCTCCTCTCGTAGGCTGCGCTTTGAAGCATATTGGTCAGTCCCTAATGCAAAATGATTGCATGCAGGAACATTGACCGAACTGGCCTTTCCTTCTTTCCTCTGTGTAGGAATCCATGTAGTCGTAAATCCTTACTCTAGCCTCTAACCAAATGCAAGAAACGTTTTTTCGTTGTGCTAGAAGAAAATGTTGGAATTGGGGCTATTTCTTGAATTGTATCATCTTCTAGAAGTGCAGCATTTTCTCTTTCATGGTCCTGTGTCCAAAACGCTTCGGGTGACATGCACCGGATCCGTTTAAGCTAAACTAATCGGATTTCACAATGGTCCCCTACGGGAATCAGTTTAACGGAGATAAACTTATTCCCATAGACGCCCATTATGAAGACGAATCAGTTTAAAGTTAAGCGAATCTGGTGCGTGTCACCCTTTGAGCCACACCGACAGTTATATTATTGGACAGTGTCTTAGGAGACAGGTAAAGTCCTATTCCAGATACATATCCTGGATACAACAGCCAACCTCGATGAGGTTGACCTTTTGTCTGGAACCTAAGACTTTCGAAAATTATGCGTGATCTATTGGCGACGCAAATTCCGCCTTGCTAGTCGTGAATATCCGTCTCCCATGTCAAACATCTTTTGCACCACTGTTGTTGAGGGTTCAGTACCGAAGCCAATTCTGAGAGGCCGCCGTCGAAGGCAGTTTGCAAACTGACGAGTTTGACCGAGACTTGCATATCTGTGTAGAGAACATACGCTTAACTAAGTATTGAACGTCAGCCCAATTGTAGTGTATTTTCACTGTTTCTTCGTGAAACCACATCCCACTGTATTGAAACTTTGATAGATTTTGATGCACATCAGTTTAGAGTCTCATTATTAGGATTCATAGGTATAGTTTAAATTCTTATTGATGTTTTTTATGATTTCGTGTGCAAGCTTCGAAATTAATATGGAAAAACAGGCAGCCCGCCCACACACGAAGCGCTTGTGCCTTTCTTCATCCTCTTCTCGTCTAAAACTTCCACTCCTATTCCCCGCTTGATATACAAGGAGAATGTAATATTGGGCGCCTCCATCCCCTCCATACGAGTTAAGCCTGAGAGACTCAGATGTTTATTTCCCGTGGTTGTGCAATAGTGAGGATCTGAATTTTTTCCCCCTTGTAGCTTGTTTTCTTATATTCGTGCGCACACAATTCCCGCAATTGCTTCTCGTGAACCGAGACTTTTAGAGAAGAATATTTAAAAAAATTTTTTTATCTAGAAAATTGAGAATATCGTGGCAACGGAAGGTAATGAGAGAGGGTAGGAGGGAAAACAGTCTGATGCGGATATTCACCACGGGCCTCAGACAGACCTCCACTCTACATCCGTTTCTTCTAACACTGAAACCGGGATGACGTTACCGGAGTCAGTCAAATTGAGTTTCATATCTGGTATTAGCGTTGAGTCTGGTCTATAGGCCCACATCCATTCAATGTTAGAGTTGTCTAGCAACTGCTCTCCTCTCTCGATATGTATCGTGACTCTTGAAATGCTAACCTACCGGTCATGGCAGTATGAAAAAACTTTCACTGTGTTGTAAAAGTCTTAGGATATACATTATTGCTTGCTTGATTTGGTAGTGTTGTGGGGTAAGAGATAAGAGAAGAAGGGAAAGGGGAAGAAAGGGAATATCGAAGTGAAACCAATTTTACAATGCTGTGTAATGCGTCATAGTGTAAACCATTTGCAAGTAGCTGTCATGACCACCACGCCAGGCATTGGTGCCTGAAGTGTGTTGTGCCATTCGCACGCGGTTTTGGCCGCCCCTTTCACTGGTATGTATGAATATCCTTTCTGGAAAACCCTCTCTCATCTCTGCGCCTTTTCTAGCAATCATGTTGCCTTTTATCTTGATTTCTTATTATCCCATGCCTCGGAGACAGTATATTGCATGTCTTTGAATGCTGTCTGGTGATGTTGCACAGTTTACGGTACTCGAAGGATGGGATGACGAACAAAAGAACGAGATTATATACTTCGGGAAGGCGCAGAGAGCGGGTAAGTTTCCTGGGAAATGTTTATTAACGCAATGGAGGGATGAAATCGTCGTGGCAGTCGAGTGGCATTTAGAGGCGAAGAGTAGTCAGTAAGCGGACTGACTGGGCCTGGCAGTTATTTCTGCGTGATTCAGCATGAACCATTTAGTTTCAAGAATCCCGAAAACAAGGACCACCGTGGACGTTATCTCTGTGTTGGATTACTCGTCGAGAGGGAAACCCTGTCCTTGTCTTCAAGACAGTGATCATTACTTGGGAATTTTTACGTCTTTCCAAAAAAAATAGTAGGCGAAATTAGGAGTGAGTGAATCGAAAATTTGAAAATTATAAAACTGTAACTGAAACTATGTGACCTTGTTATAGTCATCTACTATTTTCATAGTGACGTCTAAAGTGTTAAGAGAATCTCAGGGAGAACATGAACTAACATGAGCAGGAGAAACCTTTCCATTTTGATGATCATTCAGGATAGAATTTGTATTCCTCCCTTATTACAAACTCGTGTCGTGGTATCAAATCACACCGGTGGAAAAACATTGAAAGGGTTACGTTCTGTATGAGTTCAGTATGTATTGACATCAATATAACGGGATGATTCGAAAGGAAATGGTGTCATGAGCAAATAAACAAAATGATTGGAGTGAATCCAAAGATTCCTCATGCATCCTTGGGACCATAAGAAAGAGATATCATTTGTACAGTGCATCAAACGTGATGAGTCAATGGATAAGATAGGGATATGCCAGAAAGAACGAGCAGATGCTTTGATTTTATGCTAAGAATTGAACTTCAGAGGAATCTGAATGGAACGAAGGAAATTAACTGGAATGTGAATGATTTAGCTTATAGCATTGCTGGTCCAATTTCAACTTTTTTTAACGTTGCTGACTGTCATATTCCGTTAGCATGTTAAACACCCCCACCGAACACAGTGACGTGTGCAGTATTATCCTCAGGCTACCAAGTTATGTTCTCATCAGAAAACGGGATTTAAATAGTCTACTTCCAAAACCACCCTTGGCATGAGAAAAGAGTTTCCGAGTCAAGTACTCAGCCGATTTTAAAAATGAAACCGGAAGGCCATGGCCTTAATGTATCCCAATCTCCAGGGCAAATAGGCTAATCCTGTCTTCTTGCGTGCATGTCACTCTAGGGCTCACGCAGGAAGTACCACATTATCGTTATCCCTCACCTCCGGAAGGTGTTTTCCCCCTGTTCGATTCAGTTCCCTACCGTTGGAGAGAGAACTACAGCAGATGCCTCACATTTCTCCTTCATCCTGTGGCTATAGGCCTTAGGAGTAAATGGTTCTTCACTCCGTAGATCCGTTCGGAATCCGAAAGCAACATTGAACATCTGTGAACCTCTCATCCATATTATCTTTCGTTACCTTTCGTTCAACTCCACGCTGAACCGATGGAGTGAGAAGTTTGAGCGAGCAAGGTGCAATGGTCTACTAGTTGGGTCATTGTTCTGGATGTGACGAAGGCAGAGGACACAATGAGTCCGGGAGGTTTTTCCATGCCCTCAAGGGAGGCAGCGAGCAGAAAGATTTCTCCCCGTAGGGGCCTCAGTGTTTTCTTGTCGAGCGTGCTCGGCCAGGGCTCGTTCTTTTTCCTCTCTCCCTCTCCATTCTCTCTGTGTTGCAACTCGGAGTCGGTTCCTCCTGCCTTGCTTGCCTTCAACGTGGCGAAAGCTCTTCTCTTCCCCCTTTCCCCCCCCTCCTCGCTCTCTCTCCCTCCCTCCCTCTCCTCGTTGAAGATCTCACCTCGCTACCGGGCGGTTTTTTCTTATTTCCGCTCGTTAGAGCTTCCTTTTTCGTGCATCGTGTCGTTCCTTGTGTCATGATGAAAGGAGATGAGATGTGACGAGACCCAAGTTCACCTGCCTGTGCTCCTAGGCCCCTGTGACCTCTCAAGATGTTCTGGAGTGGGAAATGGGTACTGTGATACTCCTTCACTCGGTGCTCCGCCTTCACTGTAGGCCTCACGAGCAGAACTGCAAAGCTCTTCCCGTCACGTCAAAAAAGAAGAGAAAAAATCGTTGTTTTTTTTCTCGAGCTGGATGAGATGCAGGCGTAGGTGGTAGTAATTTCCTTCGCTCCCTTGGAGCTCGTCAGTTTTTCATCTTCAGGGGTCTAAAAGGATTCTGGAAATCTGGAGGAGCTCGTTTTCGCATCACTAATCAAGGGCTCCTTTTCGACTCACGCCTTAAGTTTTGGCATATCGTTTTTTTTTTTCCTTAGCTGCTTCCTCTTTCTCTTTCTTCAATTGGGTTTCCTATTCCATATACGGCAAATAATTTCCGGGAATGATCCGTGGGAGTGTGAAACAAGTCACGAAGAGAAAGGAAACCGGGGAAAAACAGGTCATATTCTTGGAAAGGATTGGAGGGGGATGGGGAAAACTTATATTGGGTTTTCAGGAAACTGGGACAGTCATTTTACATGTTGGCTCATGTAGTGAGGAAGAGCTGATTGTGTGATGATAACGTGATCATGATGTTGGTTCTGTTGCAGAAGGAGTTGAATTTGCGACGGGGTCAGAGAGCGCCACATCGGAAGTCCTTCGTTGCCACTTCCCCCACCTTACCCAGATGCCACTCTCCAGTATCACAGGGTAAGGATGATTTTCCTACATCCCCCTTCATTCCCTTTCCTTTCCTGCTCTAGCCTCAATAAATAGCGGGTAGCAGGGCTCTGCCCCCTCCCCCCAGTGGACCGTTATCTCTCATTCTTTCGGCACGCTTTCTTGCCAGAGTTTCAAGGTTATAGTTCGTGCGACTGCAGAGCCATCAGGACATACCAAGAGATGTGTAGGAACAGAGAACAGAGAGTGGGGCTAATTATCACTCCACCCACTGAGGGCGATTATCAATTGATGAACTTTGCCACTCCTGATGGGCTTGGCTTTGTGTCCCCTGGATCCCGTTTTGAATGTATAGAGGCACTGCTTGAAAAATAACTCGAACGGCGAGGGAGATTTCCCAGAGCATGGACACTTCGTATAAAGCTATATTTATTTGCCAAGTCACGGTGAATATCATTGCATGAATGACATAAATATCGATTTCGAGCGCGCATTTGCTAGGAGATACACATCCTTCCCGGAAGCCTTCTCGTAGAATTCATGCGCATTGGAGCCCTTCATTTTCGTCAAGCGTACATAAATAGGGCGGATAGAAAGGCATCACCAGGAGAAAAAGTCCAAGGTTGGCAGAGCATGTGTTGATTTCATGTCCGAGTATCAAGATTTTTTTTCGCTCATGCGGGTTATCCCGAGGGTGTCACGTGAAGTCTTGGGGTGAATTATTCCAGTCTTCACCCCACCCCACCCCGCTCCGGTATAACCGTCATCATCATCATATTGATGACGATCCTACACTGGAGGACTCACTCGATGTGATGGAATGAAAAAAAAGTGATTCACAGCCGATGCACCTGGGATTGCACGCCAAATTCTCATCTAGGAAATGCCAGAGAGACCCATTTCCCTCCTGGAGGTCCCAGGAAATGGTCTATTCCCTCTCATGAAAGGGGATAATCTCTCTCTCTCTCTGTCCCCATGACGCCAAAAGAGAGATTTCCAATATTCTGTGGCCTAAATGATATAGACTCTATTGCACGCGAGTCCGAGATTCCATTCATATTCCTGGCGGAGACTGGATTGAAGAGGGAAGCCGGAGAAAGCCGATAAATCCTTCCTTTCCATGGATGGATAGATGGGCTCGGTTTCTATCCATGGAAACTTGAGTTGCGTGCCCTGAGGAGAGGAAAGAAAAGAAGGGAAAGATAAGAGAGCGGCAGGAGCGTTTTGGCACATGGCCTGCATCCCCGATCTACCCCTTCCATCGATCCTCTATCCTTTTTTTTTTTTTACCCTACGAAAAGGCAGGAGGGTGAAAGAGGACGGGCCTCGGCAGACAGCCTCCCTATCAGTTGCTACAGGTTCGGACTGTAGCAGCAATTACCTTCGACCTCATTTTCTCATAGACAATAGGAAAAGACGAACAAAGATATGTTGTATATTATTTATGATCACGATCTGAGGCGATTAGGTGGTGGGATCAAGAAAGAAAGAGAGAGAGAGAGAGTTGGAGCGTGATTGTTCACAGGGAGGTCAGTGTGAGTGAGCGAGGAAAAGTTACGTCATCATCACGAATCGAGGACGTGAGGAAAACATGTATGTACACTATGCTGTATACATACATCCCATGCGTGTGACTCACACTTCCCTCCAGCTGCAAAAGGGATGCGGGTGGGAAAAAAAATTCTTGCTCAACTACTGCGACCAGGTGCTTTGAGAGTGCCATGTCGTGGGTGCAGGCGAAGTAGCATCATTATTCGTTGTAATAACCAGCTTGAATAATAGAATATAACTGGCGTCGATAGCGAGGTCACCGGTTCAAAGGTAAACCGGGACTGTTACGAAACAATGAAAGCGCTAGAATCTTCTTGTCTTAGACACCCCCTCTCTCCCTTTGTTCATCATGTCAAGAAAATGGTTTCTTTTGTTTTGGTGCAGGGAGTCCGATGGACAGCCCCAGGAATATGTCGCCGAGTCAGGGTCAGGGTGGGCATTTTGCATTTGCCCCTTTAAAGCGGGGGGAGGCAAGGCGGTGGTCTCTTGCCTCCCTCCCTTCCTCTGGTTACGGCACCACCCCGGGCTCCTCTACCGTCTCTGTAAGTTCTACTTTCACTTCTACTCTTTTCACAGTCTGGTCTGTCTAGTTTCGGCCATCCGGTAAAGCCGGTATTTAAGCCTGGACCAAAATGGACGACGTAGGGGATTCAGGGCTATCATCTTTTCTGAATAATGAATCGTCACTAATAAAAAAAAGGAGTGGTTTCCTTCCCTGGCCCATTTTATACCATGAGGGGAGGGAGGGTTCTATTCACTGATTACGGTAACTAGTGACGAAACTTTTCTCGTAATGTACTTTTTTTTAATTAATGGCCATCTGGTACTGCAGTTTGATTCATGGTTATCTGAAGCCTGAACTTGATCAGCTGGGGATTCGGTGACTTGCCCCTCCCGTCCATCGAACTGCCGAAGATGGCTGGATGGGATACGATGATGGGAGCCTGTGAGTAGGTTTAGTAGCGCAGCGGTTCTCAAGATTCCTCACGTTCCGCATAGTACACTCACGAGTGCAATTGGCTCTCAGGGCCGTTTCAACAGCAACAAAAGATAATACCAAGTGATTCTTATTCTTGTTCCTCGTGACCTTCCCACGTAAGGAAAGAGCCACACTGTCTCGCGGCCCTTCTGCATTGCATCGTTTGGTAATGGGATAAAGAAAAAAAATCCGGAAGTAAGTATTCCTGAAATCCTTATTCACACTGAAAAATCACCAAATGTTTGTTGCCTTCGCCAGTCACCAGGGCTTTTGATTTACCACCATAATCTTTCCAAAAATCAGAAATCAAATCTGGCAGACACACGCAAATGTTTGAGAGGGAAAGAAATGTCCTGGACTCTGGGCAAGATACTTCAAAGCAGTCAAGTGTACTTCAGCTAGGCTGCCTCATTTCATCACTTAATCCATTACTCCATCGTGTCAAGAATGAAGAGCCTTATCGATTCTGCTTTGAGCTTTTTATTCACGTCTCATGTGCTTGAAATTAAAAAAATAGAGTCTCGTGGTGCTTGCACATGTCCTCAATTTTGTCTGATATAAATCATAAAGGAACTTTTCTTATCATAAGCATCATAAGTACCAACAATTGCAACTTCCAGCAGCGTGTCACGAATGACACATCATTCCTCGAGGGAGATGAACGAAATAGCAGCTTTTAATGAGCCCTCTCTTCAACATGTATGTACGTTTGGCAATAAGTAACATTGGCAAGATTCTGAATTGAATATGCAGGAGGGATGCTGAACATTGTTACCAGTCTTTGAAGATCATTAGATCATTGCTATACTGTGAAGAGTTGGTGTAATTTTTTTTCCAGTCTCAGTGTTCCTCCCAGGAGCGCCTGCATACCCTCACGGCAAATGTGGCCAATGAGGAATCCCGATCCAGATTCTCGTCCAACGACAGCAATCCCAGTTTGGATGAAGAGGGAATCATTAGGTCCCCCCTCATGCGACCGCGCTCTCGCAGCCTCAGGTAAAAGTCAACCTGCTAACACTGTCTAGTTAGAGATTTTGTTTTGCGACTGCAAAAGGAGGATTTCATGCTAAGCTCTCTTTAACTCCATTTGTAGTAGTCCAGTACGTTCTCCAGTTGTCGAGACGTGCGAGGATGAGATTGTTTTGATGAACACTCTCTACCAAGAGCGGTTCCCAAAGGCAACACAACAGATGGAGGAACGTCTGGCCAACTTTATCGAGACTCATGAGGGCGCAGAATTTTCAGATGGGGTCATACGCTTCGTACATCATCAGGTTAGACTTCGTTCGGAAATTGATCTAATTTTTTTTTATTTTCATCGTCAATTGTGAAACCTCTTCATTTTTAACGATCCACGAGTGAACTTAATGTTGCCTTCGCGATGTGAGGCGGTCGAACTCCGATCGATGAATTGGGCCATGATCCCAAGCTGTCGATGTTATTGGTTACATAGTTTTGTCCACTCCGGTCATGATAAGGTATATGATAACCCTTGCCCTTGCCACCCTGCAGGTCTTAGAGATGGCCCGGGATTGCCTGATGAAGTCACAGGAGAAGCTCATCACTTCTAGTTATTTTTACGAGTTGTCCGAGAACCTGGAAAAGTTGCTAACAGAGACTCGGGAGAAGTCATCGGAGGCTTCAAGCCACCTCTCGGGCGTTGTGCGCAAACTCCTTCTCATCGTCTCCCGTCCGGCCCGCCTGCTCGAGTGTCTCGAGTTCAGTCCTGAAGAATTCTACAGGTATGAAATGAAGGCACGATGTGAATATTTACCCAATTATTATAATCTATTATTATTTGCCCATAATTTCTTTTTTGGATATCTAAGGATTGTAATCATATGCTCTATATGGAGAACGAACTTTGCATTCTATGTTCTACGTGGCCGTTGAACATGAAAGAGCACTTCTGAGATATATTTGTAGCATGTTTGTGTGCAATTTTTTTTTTTAAATCCTGTATCCGGGTCTGCTTTTATCCTTTCAGACTCCTGGAGGAGGCAGAGGGCCAGGTGAGGAGCATAGTAGGAATCAAGGAGGACATACCACGATATATAGTCTCTAAACTGGGTCTAAATAAGGATCCATTGGAAGGTAAGGCCAGAGGCTGATGCTTGGTCAAAGTGAACTAAGCTAAACTAGCTGTAAGTTGGTAGCTAGCTAAGTAAAAATTCATCATTGTGCTCTTCCTTTGACAGAGCTCCAAGAAGACCTAAAGCAGTACGAAGAACAGAGCATTCCATCCAGTGATAAATCTGAAGATTCAAATCAGAGCCTGGATTCTTCACAATCTAAGGTGTGTTATGTGACTGCTTAAGTGTGTCTGCATTAAAAGAATATGATTGCTCAGTTTTTCATATTCACTTGTTAGACCCCAAAAGAGGAAGATTATGAAGAGGTAAAACTGATAAGTAATGGAGCTTATGGAGCAGTGCATCTAGTACGTCACAAGGAATCACGGCAGCTTTTTGCCATGAAGAAGATCAATAAGCACAACATCCTTCTAAGGAATCAGATTGAGCAGGTCCTTGCTGAACGGGACATCATGAGTTTCACTGACAATCCATTCGTTGTCTCCATGTACTGCAGCTTTGAATCGAAGGTATGTGTGCCATCCATATTTCTGATGTACGGTATATTTGTTGTGCTCTCTCATCAGTCCTTTCTGCAATCAATCAATTGATGTTGTTTTTTTTTTTATTTACACCAGAAATACTTATGCATGGTGATGGAATATGTGGAGGGAGGAGATTGTGCAACTCTCCTAAAAAACATGGGACCTTTCCCCCTGGACCTTGCACGATTCTACTTTGCAGAAACAGTATTGGCTGTTGAATATCTTCATAGCTATGGCATTGTCCATCGAGATCTCAAGCCAGACAAGTGTGTTACCATCCTTTCTGCTTCTTGTAGTGAGCAAGATTGAAATCTAAAATATTTAATGTTTTTAATTCCAGTCTTCTTATCACTGCCTTGGGACACATCAAGCTCACTGACTTTGGACTCAGCAAAATTGGAATCATGTCCCGTGAGTGTTTCATGTGATCACATGCATTCAATTTGCTGTAAAGGATGGAATGAGAAATAGGTTCCATTGAAACTTTCCAGGTGCAACAAACCTCTATGAAGGTTTTGTGGATCGGGAGACCCGACAGTTTTCAGACAAACAGGTGTTTGGTACTCCAGAATATATTGCACCTGAAGTGATTCTGAGGTCAGCTTTTAGTCACATCAAATAAAAAGCAGGGAAGAATGCTACTCAGATTTTTTTTAAATACAATGAAAGCAGTGTCAGAGTTTGGTTTTTACAGGCAAGGATATGGAAAACCAGTAGATTGGTGGTCTATGGGAATCATTCTATACGAGTTCCTCATTGGCTGTGTTCCATTTTTTGGAGATACACCAGAGGAGCTCTTTGCCCATTCTGTCAGTGGTAAGGAATCTATCAAGTGAACTTCCTCCTGTTGTCTTTCATCCATCTGGTGTTTTGTGCATTAATCTTTGGTTCTGCTTGTTGATCTGCAGCAAACATAGAGTGGCCAGATGAAGCAGACTGGCCTGTAGATCCTCAGGGGAAGAGTCTGATCATAGCACTTCTGCAGCAGAGTCCTTTGGATCGCCTGGGCACAGGTGGTTCAGCTGAGGTCAAAGAACATCCTTTCTTTGACTCTGTTGACTGGGATTCCCTCCTTCGACAGAAGGCTGAATTTGTTCCACAGCTGGAAAATGATGAAGATACCTCCTACTTTGACAGTTTGTTCCTTATTGGTCACTAGAATGACTTGCATAAGAGGCAGTACTCGTAATGACAGTATTTTTTTAATTCTTTTATTGCAGCTCGGCTGGATCGATACAATCACCAGTTGGTGGAAAGTACTGAAAATACAGAAGAATCCCTGTTGTTTTCATCCTTTTCCTCATGTTCTCCTCACTACAATAAGTGGATGCGTCTTGATTCTGACAACTCTGGCCCTGAGTCTGTGTCAGAGACCCCTGACCGAGAGTGCTCAAGGTCTCTGTCAACCAGGTGAGTTCACTGAGAGAGTTTTCAAATTTTAAAATCATAAGTACTTGGTGAATCTATATCATTGTTTGATTTTTTTCCCTCAACAGTGCTCCAGGGATTGAATTCTCATTCCCAACACATAGCACTCCTGATTCATCTCAGACAGATGGAGAAGAGGCATCTCCCCAGGTGCCAAGAAGACGGCGACTCAACATCATGTCTCGTTTCTCCATCCCCAATGATTCCACAGAGTCTCATCTGTAAGTCAGAAGTCAGAATCCATCTGCTTCATCCATTGTGTTTTTCAGAATGATTAAATGAGGAATTACCTTTTTTTTAAAATCATAGTTCTCTGATATCATCTGGAAGTGGGGATATGACCAGAGAGTTGTCCCCTGTGAATGAAAGAAGTGAGGTGGGTGATGGAGCTCGCAATCTGCTGCTCAAAACAGCCAAAACACTAAATCCTGCCTATATGACTCCAATGACACCAGCAAAACCAGTTCCATCACAAGGAGCAAGAAAGCGAATTGAAATGGCAATTGCACCCTCTCGTTCATCAAGTGCTATTGTCCCTCCTGCTGTCAGTCGTGTGTCACGTTCTGGCATCACCAAATCTGCATCTGCTTCTGGACTCTCGCTCATGATTCCATCAGGTATACATATAGTTGTCCATTCTCCATTGATGAAGACCATAGTTGGTTTTTTTCTTTTCATGGGAGAGGAATAGAGTCATCAGTTTCTTTAGGGGTAGAACTTGGCAAATTAAGTTCTCCTAGTCTGGATGTGGGTTGTGGGTTTGTCTTCATGTGATGATCCAGTAGTAAGTAGTCGCTTTTTTCATGTCAGTAAGACAATAATATTGAAGGTGGCAATCTGTGGATAATGGATACAGTACAGTATTTTCATATTTATCAGATTTTTTATGGTCTCATTTGCACGCATCATATCCTCAGATATCAGAGGAACTTGTACTCTGCATGAAACTTTAGGAAATTTGTACTAGGCTCTATAAAGGGTCTCCAAAGAAGTAGCCTATCCTTAGAACATACTGAAATGTTATCATTGAAAGAGAATTTAAATTCACAGAAAGTGATATCTTCATGAGGCATTTCTTTTGAAGTACAGCATGGGGTATCCATGAATTACAAAAGAAACTATAATATAACTGAACACATACTTTTTTTTTAAATCTGAAGCAACCCTTTATTTTGTAAGTATAAATTGGCTATTTGTGAACCAAAATATGTCAAATCCATACTCCATTCTTCTGATGTGAATTAATTAATTTTTCTGACCCCTGGTCACTTCAGATTCAATGATATTAACTTGCACATGAGTAATAACTCTATGGACCCCTGTATATCTTCTCTTCTGTGGGCATATAGGAGTTTTGTGCATGTTGTTTAGATGAGAATCCAGTGCAGGGGATCCAGAGCCCTGGAGGATCAAGCACAGCCTCATCCCGTGATGCTTCTCCAAGCCGAGATGGTTGCCCTCTCTTTTCATCTCTCAAGCCCCCCATCATTCTTCGCCGTTCCCCACAAGGATTCGGCTTTGCCATGCAGGCCATTCCTGTTTATTATGGTGACTCTGATTACTACACTGTTCATCACATCGTAAAGGTAAGTTCAGTTTTTATTATTTCAAACCAGTTAACCTTTCTGCAAAAAGGACTTATTTCATCATGAAATCGTTGCAGTCGGTGAATGTTGGAAGTCCAGCATTTGAGGCTGGTCTCCGGATGGGGGACCTCATCACCCACATCAATGGGGAACCTGTCCAAGGTCGGCTCCACACTGAGGTCCTTCAGATGCTGCTGTCAGGAGGGGAATCGGTGACACTGCGGGCAACCCCTCTGGAGAACACCTCCATCCGAAGTGGAGGTCGCAGGAGAAGTGCAGAGAAGGCCAAATTGGCACGGCGGCCTCATCCAGCACTTGGAAGTGGGAGTGGAAAGGGTCGACCTGGTGCCAAGAATAAGAGGGATCCCAGCTCTCGCAGTAAAAAGACTTCCCTATTGAGACGCCTGAGCAGCAAGAGAGCTTCAGCTGAGATTCAACAGGTAGGCTACTTGTACCTTGCATAGAATGTTCAGTTACATCAAATCAGATCAAATCAAATACAGTACATCAAATTATCTAGAAAATGTTAGCAGGTAAGGAATTAGCATCAGCTCAGTGTTATGCAACCTCCTGAACCATCATCTGAAATGAAAATGATCTCTGCATTTTTCTGAAATAGTACTTCTTCATTTGATTTGAGATCCATTCATTCAGTGTATGATACAATCTTTCTGATTTGGACAGCTTCAAGCTGTGGGGGCTCCAGGTGGAGTGGCACTCCTCCATCGCTCAGTATCCACAGGTGACCCACCAGCTCATATCGGCGGAGCACCCTCTCGCATCTTCAGTCCATCCGACGCCTCATCGGGCTCTTCAAGCCCATCTAGCTCTGGCCCCAATTCTCCTGCATCCTCTTCCATCCATCGCCCTTCATCTCTTCATGGCCTCAAGCACAAACTGCACAAGACACTCCATTCTCCTCGCCGGAAGTCAGTGGGGCACATCCCACTGTCTCCACTGGCTCGGACTCCATCCCCAAACCCTAACCACAGCACACCGCTGCCCCCACCAGCTCCAATGGCCCCAACATCAACATCCCCAACAAGATCCCCATCTCCACTAACTGCTTTCTCACATCTCTCAATCCATTCAAGTGGAGGGAGTTCATTGGCCATGCTGACACCTGCTTCGGCCTGGAAGACCCTGACCCGACCAAAGTCGGCAGAACCGAGTTCACCACTCCTAAGACGAGCTCTTTCTCCAGAGCGGCACCACTCCCGAAGTGGAGACGGATCTGGACGTGGAGTCGGGAAGCATTCGTTGTCCCCGTTGGTGTTCTCAACTACTCCAAGTCAGAGTCCACCCACTCCACCCCGGCTGCTGGTCACGACTCAGTCACCACCAGAAACCAAAGAATTATTGGCAACATTACCTCAGCCATCATCTCCAGTCCCCATGGCAGACTCAAAAGACACAATTGTGAATGCTTGTTTTGTTCGCCCGCAGCCTACCAGGAACCTGGGTCTCCGGGAATCTGTGATGGAAAACCCCTGTGATAGCCCCAGATCTCAATCATCGATCGATTCTGACAACGCGAGCAAACGTCGCCTTTCGTTCCCTATCGATCAGCCACGTGTCAGCTCCTTTACTCATGTTCGTCTGCCCCCTATGGACCCTAATTCAAAAGAAACTACTGAACGAGTCACTGATGAATCACCTAAGAATCATAAATGATTGGGGCTGCAGCTTCTTGTGCATTTGAGATTTGGGCGTCATGTTCAAAAATGGTCCTATCTGGGTGTTTTTGCTTTTTGTTTCTACAGGAAGATTTAAATGTTTGCATTTTTGCTCTTTTCTCTTTCATCGTTGTCATCTTTTGTGCTCAAATAATTGATGAGCCAATTGTTTGTCCTCTCTTATTGCCTGTGATAGAGTTCAGAACTAATTATTTGAAGCTTCAACATTCCATTCCTTGTTGGCATTTTATCCTGTCTTATTCACGTTTGTAAATTTCCCCATAAATTTTTCCTCTATCTTATATTCTGATTAAAGAGGGTGTCCCACCCAAAATGTTTACTCCCAATTTTTCCCCATATCCCCTCATAACATATCAGTCACTTTCAGGAGAACTGAGCAGAAGAAAGCACACCTTGCCAAAATACTCATCCATTTGACAGGAATATTCTTTGTGTTTACTCCTGCAGTTCCTGACGATTTGAGAGTCTATGGTTGTTCTTTTCCTCTCATCTTTTGTGGAGTGTGTGCTGGAGCTATTTAAATTGTGGTGACACTCATCAGATGTCTCCAGTAATAAATTGTGAGAAGCAAGGATTGTGAATACATTATTTCACTCCGCTGACTTGTCCCTCACAAGAACGAGGGACATCGAGGAAGTCAGAATGCAGTTTGAAACTAACTGAGCCTAATCCAGTAGTGAGGCTTCTTTGAAGGAATTGACGGTACATAGGATGTGAGGAGGTATGAGAGTAAATGAGATTCGAGTACATTTTACGATGAATTTGTTGTGAGATTGCTGGAGGAAGAAATGGTCCTATCTCGGGCTCGCACCGTTCCGTCACTGCGACGGCGACTGCTACCGTTTCACAGGAAACGTCGCCGTCCGTGCACTCGTTCTGGAGACTGCTTGGCGATTGAGTTTTTGGGGGTACGATTCGTGGCAAATGAGGGATAGAGATCCCGCGATCGATTACAGGAAAAAAAAAGAAAACCAGACGTTGCCTCGAGGATTGGGCGTCGGAAAGGGAGGGGGGAATTGCTATTTCCCATCTGAAGGTCGTCCAATGTCATTTTTTACCTGGCCGAAACCTGGCTGGTTCAGTCTCGCAGTCCGTGTCTTTGTCTTGGTCTTCCCACATGCGAACACCTTCGTCTCCCGTCCAGGCAGGTAGGATTTTCCTTTTCGAGATATTTATTTTATGCCTGCCTCAATTGCGACGTGCTTTATCAACATGGAACGTTTTGAGTTTTCATAAACCTTTGGGAATCGGTGGATCGGACGTGCTGGCAGGCGGACACGGGCATCCCGATTTAACACTCCTTCATTTTTCCGTTTCGGAATACGTGAGGACAGCAAAAGATTCGTAGTTTCCAGCATCTGCGCTAATGGATGCATGTAGAGAGGATAACTCCGGTCATGTTCCAGAATCGCGACTGAAGAGAGGCGGGAAAATGGTAGACATGTGGAAGTAAGATGAGGAAGGACATTGAGGAAGTCTGAATGCAGTTCGAAACCATGGTCAGGGTTCATGCACTCGTGTTGCAACGAAACCATCGGTAAAACAATCTTTTTAAAAATACGTATGAGGGAGCGGATCCATCAGTCGGTGACCACGTCATTTGCGCAAATATGTCCGATCTAACTGGAGCGTGCCAACTGCTCCAAATTCTTTTTTTTTATTTGCGCCATTTAGATGGTGCCTCTATAGACAAATTTTAGGCAAGGATGATGGGAGGGGAATTCATCGAAGGGAAACGCAAAGTTAAAACAAACGGTTGGTGTTGGACCCAACGGAACAACAGGACACAATTCTGCCCCTCTTCATCTGTCTTCAATTTCTATCCAGACAATTTTTTTTTTTTTAAGGTCCTAACGTGTGGGAGTCAGCTGGGGAGAGATCTAGACCGTAAAGGGGTGTTCCACAATCTCCCGACCCCGTCGGTTTATGGTTGTGACGGTCATGTTCGCCGAATGAAAGCAAGCATCGACATGGAACATTATCACGCCTCTACTCGGTTGTCCTGGGCGTATCTTACGTATCGCCTGCTGCACTTTGCCTTTCAAAAGGCTTTCTGTAGTGCTTCGCATCAACTGTTTTACTGCGCTCCAGAAATTCCACATCACACCCAAGATTTCTCAACACAATACCGGTGTCACAGCTGTGCCTGGTGAATGCACACAATCCTCATCGGTAACTGATTCGCGCCCATTTTTAAACACGTCACACCAACAGTACACCGTTCGCCTTGGAAGGGCAGCATTACCAATATATTTTGTTAGTCTACAGTGGATTTCAAACACCTTGACACCTTCCTTCACCAGAAATTTGATTACACATCGCTGTTCCAATGCCGGAGTAACAGCGCATGACATCATCTTGACATCTTCTACGAGAAACTCTCAGCCACCCTTCATCTTCAGATTTCACGTCACTGTTACAGCAACATTTATGCAAATTTTCACTGCTCTTGCGTTACCTGTTGCTTCTATAAGAAATAGTGCCATTGGATCTTGAACTCCCCTCGTATATTCTATTCACTCAGAAAACGTTGATATATTGGTAATCATACTGTCCTTGCATGACCTTCAAGGTAACGCCTGTCGTTCGGAAGAAGGTCGCGTGAAGGAAAGATTCCCTGATTTGTCTCAAATGTAAAGCACTGGAATCGGTTGCCCATTTGTTGGGCCTCACTGGCGGTTTCCTTGTCGCTAGGTCTCTCCAGCAGTCGACTTGCTTTAGCGGCATTCCTTTGCTCGAAATTTGAAGGGTGTAGGTGTAGACTGAGCTTAATTTCGAGATCGAAAAAGATCGGTATTGTATATAATAAGGTCATGGAAATGGAGGAATATATATTTATCTGCGTTAGTTACCGATTAGTTCGTTACATTTTTTTTAGTTCTAATATCAGCAGAAAAATTTTTGCAGGAGACTCGGAGACAGAAAAAACGGGTCATAGCGAAGCGACCTTTCTCTTTTGCCGGTTCGATTCTCGTCCATTCTGGAAAGTTGAGTGAAAGTGGAAGGGGAGCAAATGATATCGAAGCAGGCAAGACGGATCGGTTAATCTACCTATTAAATACACAATAGAATAATAAATAAATATTAAATACACTATCTTTAAGTGCATGACTCGTGCTTCTAACTTGTTTGATCAGCAAGATCATGCCGAAGTGATAAAAATGGTATATGCATTATATGTTAAATAATGTTAGTTACGCTGGAAAACTTCCCTGGCCAGTTCAATTTTGAGCAAGATGGCATATATAAGCATATTTGCATAGAGCATATTTGTTCAATGTTTAATACTCAAATAGTGCAAGAAGCGTATGTTGACTTGCCAGTTTCATCGGTCAAACTGTCCCATATCGAACAGAATTTTTCCATTACTCGAGTATTTTCCTGGAGTGGGAAAAATGCTTAATTTAAATCGGTTAACATCCACTACGGCCGCGACGAAAAATACAATTGTTGTAACGTTTGTCTGTAATGTTCATTCTGTGTTTCTTCTTATTGCAGTGGACAGATATTGGCACCCGCCGGGAGACCATCGGCCCCTCGAAAATGTTGCGTTCTCCATGTGACACTTTTGTACTCTCCACTTTGTGCTTTGCCCATAATGTGAGATACAAACCACTCTAGTCAGGTTTCCTTAGTAGTAGGGTGACAGTGTGCTTTTTTTATTATCGTAAAGAATAATGCAGGGAAAAGAAATTGATGAGAAGTTGTTTATTTCAATGAAAGAATTTCAATTTTTTCATAGCAGTGAAAGATCGTCGTTTTGACTCAGAGGCTTTTGCTTGCTGAAATGCGTCTATTCTATGCGAGTTGACAAGTAACAAGGGAATAAAAAAAAAAACACTATTTTTATTTTTTGCACGTGTGTAGTGCATTTATATGGGCGTAAGACGGTCTCTTTCCCTTGAAAAACTGGTTAGGCATAAATATTTAGAGGCTCTGCATTACTAATTCATGAACTAGGCAAGTCGATAGTATAATTTTTCTGGGATTTGATATCTAGCTTGCAATGAAATCCGATTCGTCTATGTCGCAGTCGCAACAAGGAAAGTGCGGCGATCGATGTTTTGACTTTTTACATACGTCTCATGTGACCAAAGGAGGTTGAGGCAGAAAAAAATACCAAACATAAATTCTCCTCCCTACCAGTCTTATTCCAAACTTCTTCCTTGCAGACACCTAGGTCCAGAGGCCCTCCTATCCGTAAGGGGATCACGGGTACTACAATCCAGTAATCCTTCCGCTCAAGATCAAACCGAGTCGACCAGACAATTAACAACTGAAATTCTGCCGTCTGGAAACACCAAAGTCCTGAGGTACCGTCGTGGTACATCCTGGCTCGAGGTTTGAGTGAAGGTCAAACCGAAGAGGTGGGACGTTCGTGACCCGCGGACGAACAGTCCCACTTCATTTACTTCATTCACGTTTGGAATAGAGTCAACCGAGCTCTGGAGCAGTCGTCCAGCCGCAGATTTATTGGCAGGTTCAAAAGCTTAGAAAAGCTTCTAGTTCGAGCGTCTGACTGCTGCACTCCGGACCGAAGACGGGGACTTTTATACTGATGAGGAGACCATAAAGTTGGGACATTCATGACCGTTGCAAAGCATTTGGCAACAAGAAAAGCCATAACTACTCGCACTGGCGTAGCTTATTTCTGTATCCACATTTCTGTATCCGCCATCATTATCTTACAAGCTTATTCAAGCAGCTTCAGGCGCAAAGAAATTGATAAACTTTATACCCGACTAAAGACGGATGATGTTTTGGGCAATGATTTCTAGGGATTTCCCCTTATCATATATAAAAGGTTATATAAAAGGGGTTGTCAAAGCCTTATAGGGTTTTTATACATTTTCTTCGTGTCCTACGACGGTCATGGGAGGATATCAACAGAATCTGACAACCCTGCGCATTTTTTCCCAAAAGGTTGCCTGTCAATTCCAGTTGAGTAAAACATAAAAGTGGGTAGCGCGCACAACACGTTGGTTTAATAAAATCATGTCGCTCCCTAGGGAGAGACCAAGTAACCACTAATTCCACCAAATCCTTCGACATATATTGGGTTGGAAAGAAAGTTTTGCAACACTGTGCGCAAATTTTTTAAATTTTATAACTTTTTGATATGCGATTTACTGTCTACAATGTTGCTGACCATTGTTCAGAATGACATGTTCCCAACGCACGGTTAACTGTTCAATGCCCCTTGCCAAGAACTCTGGCGATTGCGAAGCGAAGAAAGTGCCGACATCATTTTCGAGCTGTGCTCGAGCGTCGAAAGCAGGTGATCCTTGAGGGATAAGAGGGAACAAGTGATAGTCGGAAGGGGCCAAGTCCGGAGAATATGCTGGATGGGATAAAACCTCTCGACCAAGTGCCAAAATCGTCTGCTCGTTTCGCGTGTTGCTCCATTGTCATGGAGAACTTTGTCGCGTTCTGGGACGCTCTTTTTGAACGACGCCAGCCAACTTCTGAAGTCGAGCAGCATATACGACGGCAGTCACGGTGGTAGCGGTCGGCAGGAGCTCATAGTACTACATTCCTTCTGAATCCCACCAACAGCAGAGAAGAACCTTCTTCTCGTGGAACCCTGGTTTCGGCTCGTGTGGCGGCAATTCTCCTCGTGGAAGCCACCAACTCTTGCAAGTATGGTTGACGTCGAGGACCCAGTTCTCATCTCCAGTCACGATTTCCTTCAGAAGGTCCTTTCTGTGCGGACTTTCTGTGCGGACGAAGGAGCAGTGATTCGCAGACACTGACACGGCTTGCTTTGTCAGAGTCGCCAACGAGGGACCCATGTCGAGTAAACCTTCCAATAGCTGAGGTCATTCGGATGGTTGCCTATAGCCATATGGGTGACTCCAAGTGTAGTCGCCGATTCGTGAGTGGTGGCATTCTGCAGGGCTTCGTCATTGACTGTCGATGGATGTCCTGAGCGTGGTCGATCTCCGAAGGTCGTGTCGCCAGATTCGAAGCATTTGAACCATTGAGACACCGTGGAATAGTGGACGACGTTGCCCTCGAATGCAGTGCAGATGTTGTCCGTGGCGGCTCTCGCAGAGTGTCCTTCGAGGAACTCTTAGTAGATGATGGGGCGAAGAGTTGCTCGTTCGATCAGAGCCATGGCTGCCAACTGATGGCAGAAGCCGCCTTATATACCCCGAGGGCAGAAGCTTCGAGAACATTCCAGCATATACAAATGCAAAGCCCCCGCCCATCATTCCTTTATGTTGAAGTCCTTAATCCTGTCATTACCAGCTCCTTGACTCTGGCACTATAAGGGTATTAATGTTAAGTTTCATTCCAGCATATACAAATGCAAAGCCCCCGCCCATCATTCCTTTGAAAATTTTTATAAATAGTTTTAGAAAGTGTTGCAAGACTTTCTTTCCAACCCAATATATAGAGGAAAGTAATCATCATAGGTAATTTGCAATTCCAATGCTATTTAAAAAAAAAAGGAGTTGCATGCAAAGGGGTCAACCATATGAATATCAGTTAATGGCTTGTAGTACTTGGAGTTTTCAGAAAACACTCTCTGAGCCCCCATCCTAAGTTTCTCACCTGAGACTGAGTAAAATTCTCACCAAATCATTGCCAATGGGACAAAGAATTCATAAATATAACAGATAGCAGACTGACCTGACTGAAGGTCAAGAGAGGCCTGGAGCTTTGGGGGGCAATAAATGGCATTGGCAGTTGTTCTGGCTGATGTGAGGGCTGCTCGTGCTTTGGGCAGATTGCTTAAGGCGTGATACGTCTTACTCTCCAGCAACTGGACCTGGAGACCCCAGAAATCCCAACATACATTATATCACTTATGACTAAAAGGAGATATAAGGAAAGGAGAGAAGAGGGACTTACTTCAACAAGGAGGTGCTTGTCATCAAGCTTCTTCAGCTCATGCAATAGCTGTGAACCAAGGTGTAAGGCGTCTGTGTACATGCGGTTGTCAAAATACAGTGCAACCAACCGGGATTCCAGGGACTGCCTGAGAAAAGTTCTCTTCTCCTGTCTTGCCCATTCAATGCATTCCTAAAGGCACATGCAAAAATCTTCTTTTTCTGAAGTTCATTTAAATAATTTCTCAAGGTCATAAATAAGTTTTATTCAAACCAAATATATATTCATCTCTTCCCTCAGGGCTGGTTTGCATGAGCAAATTAAAAAAAAGTGAATGCAAAGGATTCAAATAATGTGGATTGTTGAAACCATTGCTTGTTTCAGCATTATTTTCCTGACAAAGAATATGTAGCTGTCTAGCCAGCAATTCACAGTCAGAGGATCCACAGTTGTATCTTGTGCCTTCCATCTACTATATGAAATGTCTTTCTGGCTTGTCTCTGTATTGCAATGCTTGTCACTTTATCCCGTTAAACTTATCCTTCACTGGAATTAACAACACTGAAATGAAACTTAACATTAATACCCTTATAGTGCCAGAGTCAAGGAGCTGGTAATGACAGGATTAAGGACTTCAACATGCTTATCCTCAACCCATATAAAATGTTAAAACCAAACTTTCTTAACCCTCTTCAACTTCCTGGCATTTTTAACTCTTCAAGCACTGAGTTTTGACCTGACCACTTAAGTGATGAACATATGATGTACTTGAAAATTGGCTGAAGGGTTAAAGGAAATTCATAGCACTGATCTAATAGACTCTAACACTAAAAGGGTTTATGATACTACCATATCATCATGATAATTTGACTCTTTCAGCCATTTATGCATAAACCCTTACCAATGTAATGTTAGTGTTAAGATGATAGTCCTGGAACACCTTGTTGAGCTATTCGGCTTGTTTGCCAACCAGAGCAACCTCATGACTCAAACATCTATAATTGTTTCTTTAAAAAAAAAAATTCAAACTCAGTTGGCAAACAGCTTCCAAATGAACTTGTCTCAAGTCACTTGAAGAAAAAGAAATGGTCCTTGGTCCCAGATGCAAGAATAGAACCATGCGCCATGACTGCCTAAAGAAGTCTGTCTGTAGTGGAAGTCTCTTCCAATGGAAGTGCCAAGAGTGTTGTTCTTGTCTTACCAATAGTAATTTCTAGTTACATGTGTGTCTGGTATGTTCTCTGCAACAGCTCTTCACAATTAAAGTACAACCAAATTAGAACAGAGAAATCCAGTCTTCAGGAATAAGGAAAAAGATTAATGCATCATATAATTAAAATAAATGGTTTTCCACTGTTCATAAAAGTTTAGAAAATATGTAATATATAAGTGCCAAATTGTAAAATACCACAATTCTGTAGAGAGGAGGTTGCACAGATTGTCTGGTCTTGAATGAGTAGGATAAAAATCTAGTCACACTTGTATTGTGATCAAGATGATTACTGCAAACTCTTAATACATAATCCAGAACTGAAGATTCTGAGAGATGAAAATCAATAATCAAAGAAGGCATGAGCTTACTTTACAAAGCTGCACTTCCATTCCAGTGCCTGCTTCCATGTCCAAGAACTTGTCCACCAGTTCCCGAACTAACTTTGCAGCTTTTGCCTTGCTGATACATGCTAAGAATGGTCTAGCCTCCTTGATCAGGTCTCCAAGTTCTGAAAAGCAAATGCATTGGTTTTGGCTCAGGGCTATGATAAAATATAACTTTAGAAAAAGCTTTAAAAAAAAGTCACAAATTTAATAGGCAGGCGATATTCAGTTATTTAATTCTTTTACCTTTGGCATTACCCAGCTGTCGGTACCTCTCCCCAAGTTCCAGAATGCTCATCTCCTTCAGCCTGATAACTTCCTCATCATTGCCAGGAACTGGTTCTTCTACCTTCAAATTCACTATCAAGTAAAAAAAATAAAAATAAAAAACATAAGTAGTTCAATATACTGTAGTGCTCTATACATTAATCATGGCATACAAGTACAAAATATCATGCAAGTTCACTTTAAATTTTCCATGAACCATGAACCCTGTCATCTATGATAATTAAAAAAATAGAATGGTTCTTTCAACAACAAAAAAAACAAACCAGATAAATGTCTAGTCATAACTATGCCAAACAAGTCATTTACCTCCCATTCTTTTCTTAAAAAGAAAAAAGAAAAACTTCAATCCTGATGATGTAGCTCTTGCAAAAAAAACTGAGATTTGAGAAAAGTGTTATGCAAATAATCTGTTTCTTTAAAGAAAAAAAAACCTAGTTCTTCCTTAACATGATTGGCTTCATGTTGTTCCACAGCCAGAAACTTTGGAAACAATAGTCCCAATGCAGTAGGTGTAACCAGCAGAGTAGTGTTCTGCTGATCTCCTCTCGTGATTTTCAGGTACACTCGGAAAGTAGTCAATATCCAGGTCACAGAGAGGTAATATTCTCCAATAATTTTTTTTAAAGGGAATAAAAGTGCAACATTCACAATCAATCTGATAGCAGAAACATAAACACAGTGGGAAAACATTAATGTGACATAGCTTTACCTGAAGGTGTCACATTTGACAAGCACTGAAGAAAAAGATTTAATAATATGAACACAAAACCATTCTACCAAGAACTATTATTGTTGCATATCAATTACAGCTGCAGCAACAAGATATAACAATTCTTAACCAATTAAAACTATAAAAAATTGCCATCGAGAAACAATTCAATAAAAGCCTAAAGAAACACCTCCACAAGCATCTATGAAAACAGCACATTTGCTAATAAATTACTATTCTAACCCTTGGCAGACAACAACAAACCAACAGGTTCTAAAGGAAGCAAAAAAAAAAGGCCTTTCCATGTGTCAGTATTGATTTCTGTCCGTTTCATATTTAGCCATTTCACCACATTGGTCACTTACTTTCACTCACTCTCTCTCTCATTTTCCTTCATCCATCTTTCATAAGACTCAATGCCTAGTGTGCTGCAACAATTGAGCTCTTGGTCTATTGCAGTGGTGTGATTTCTTCCTGAATCAACGGTAGCCAAGGGGGTTTATTAATTCATACAATTCTTGGTAAATAACAGGCTCCACATTAAGTGAAACCAGCACTTACTCCAGATATTCTGTCTTATGTACACCAGGCTGGCTTGTAAACAATACCATTGGACTGCTGTGTTCCATGCACATTGGCATCTGACATCATTCACATGAATGCAAAACAGATTGTCTAACAATAGACACGACTGACTTCATGATAGACAAATATGCCTGCCAGCACTGTGGCCATATATTGTGACATCCATGTTTACAGCAAATCAATGAAGCAGCCTTCAAGTTTCTCCCATTCTTCCTCTACCACAAAGAGGGGAGGCTGGGGCAAGCAAAACAACATTGCTGTAAACAGACATTGTGCCTTTTCTGTCCACCAATCAAATTACAGATCTCCATCAAGCGGGTTGTCTACTTGTCCTTGAGTAGTGTTTGTAGAATCTTATTCTGAGTCAGGAATGATTTTAGAATGAAAATTAAAGCCTGGCTAATTTTGCTCAGTCTTATTCACAGTCAAACCCCATGGTCTCCAAAAACATTAAACCTTATTTTAGTGACATCTACCTCTATCCCAACATGTACTCCAGTCACTGCTTTTCTTTTTCGTGTTCCACATCTGAGTGTAGTGGGCACATGATCTAACCATATGAGGGGAGTGTGTACAAGACTATGAATACCCCTTTCCTCTTATCTCTTGCTTTATTAAGGAAATTTCTTATGGCAATTTCTGGGGCCAGAAGAGGTTAAGTGACAGATATATTGATAGCTGTCCAGCATCTCTCTGAATTGTCATTTCCATAATGGTACATAACCTTGAAGACATGGTAAACCTCCACGGGGTTCACAATATTTATGATTTTTCTTATTTTTCTTATTTCTATTATTCATGGTCTGTAATTTACAAGGATCAGAACCCCATCCTTATATCCATATGGAGCAAAAGTAATTCATGGAAAGGGAACATAAGCATCCTGGGGTGATGGGAGTAGGAGTCAAAATTTATTTTATTTTCTGGTATTACTCATATAGGCCTGTTACAGTTAACGAAATGCATTTGATTAACCGAGCATGAGTAGAGTCACCTGGAATCTCAATTGATTGGGATTCCTATTATATATAATACACACCACACCCACCCCCCTAACCTAACCTGGCCTAACTTAAGGAGAAACACAATATCCCTAGGGGGTACAGTCACCTGGGCAACCCTACGCACTGCGTACAGTTAACTGTGTCTGATGGGCAACTGTAAGTGGAATAGGCCCATGACCTTCATATGGGAAGGTATATTTTCTTATAAGTGGGATGGTGACAATGTAACAAAGTGATATGACCCAAAGGCAAGCCAATACATGCAATGATTTACAATGGAAAGAAAGGCAACATTGAACTAATTCTTCATCCCATTTTTATTGATCCACAAAGTCCTTATTCCTGCTCCAAATGCTACAGGACAAGTGGCTCCTTTGGGTAATGATGCAAGGATGAAGGGAGGGAACTGCAGAGTGCATGGGATGCACAAGGATGGTCAATAGCCACAAGATGTTCAATGCACCATGAATGGAGGGTAAATGTGTACACAGGGAAAGATAGTGGAAGTTTAAAGTAACCTAGATTTGTTTGGTATATGCAAAATGCACAATGACTTCATAAGACTTTGCAGAAACAGGGAGTTCAGATTAAGTTGACACATTCTCTAAAACTGACTGGGGGCCAACGCAAAGCGTTACAGTGAGCTAATTGTATTATTTCGGCCGAAGCCGAAACACCACTGGATTCACTCAAGACTTATGACACTCTAAAAACTAAAAATTAGACGCCCATTCAGCAACCCACGACGTCTTCTCGAACTCAGTGGTATGGCAGAACGCTTACGGAGGTCTTAAAGTTTAACACGCACAGATCTACATGATGATGGTAGCGGTATGGCACCCTACAACGTGAGGTTGGATACTACTGAGCTTATAACGAAGGGGAGAGTCGGATAGTAGTAGCCTAGCTCTCATTGTAAACACATCAGAGGAGGATAACGAGAGAAACTCACCAATTTTCTTGAGGTCATCAATGCCGGCTTTTTTGTCAATAGTTGAGAGCGCCTGGGCTCTTTCCAGCAGCGCAGCAGCAGCCATTTTGGGATTCTGATCCTTCGTCTGCTCTACATGCTGGGTATCTTCGACGATCTGCTCATTCCCCTTTGGACTATCTCGTTTCCCAATATTTTCTCTCTTCCCTTGCTTCTGTGGCGTCTTTTTCCGTACCTGTATGGCACCACCAACAACCTATCAAGATTTCCTCTTAATAGTTTCCTCATACACAGGGACTGCTTCGCCGGAATAAGCTACCCAGACAAAAATGCTGACAAGTGGGGTTCTAAAATGGATTGAGCAATCTCCCACTTCCCCAACGCACTGCGTCATTTATATGGAAAGTCCTGGAAACGTATGCGTCATACCTCACGAGGCGAGGTCTTGCTTTCTGCTTCCATGGTGAAGCGCAACTAAGAATCCCTGTCAGCGACGCACATGATGACTAGGTCCTATCCCTGACAGCGGAGGAAGGTGCCAAAATGGGACGAAGTGGTGTTCCTTCCCAAGTGTCTTTTTCAGAACTTGTAGCGAAAGTCAATTTCTTCGCAAACTCCCCTTTACAGAAACTATAATCAGGAGTCATTGTGCTTCTGTGGCGTATCTGACGGTAACTGCTTACTCATGCGATGTTGCAGGTCGAGTGTCTCATTGCCATCAAGAAGAAAAACAGCAAACTTGCCCTGCTTCTCAGCGGCGTATTTAAGCTGAGGAGTCAAGGGGGAGGGCAGCAGTGCGGGGAGCTAAATCCCACTGAAGAAAAAATATATACCTCTAAGGGGGCGCCTAACTCTGTTCCAAGGGCCCCAGGGGAAGCGGCCGTCCCCCTTGCCTCCCCATAAAATATGCCACTGCTGCTCTTCCATAAATTTCCATGGGAAACCACCAGAAAAGGAATTAAACTACTACTTACTTGAGTCCTTTTCCCTGTATTGTTTACCTTGATCCATGACCAGTTCATGTTCATGGACAGTAGCAGTGGAAGCAGATTAAAGGCGAAACATACGCACAAATAATTTATTTGAAAGCCAAGTTCCATGCTAAGAACAAAATCCTTTCATCGGGGAACACGTGAATTTCCTTGATGCCTCCTGATCGCAGTCTGGTAATTTGGCTTTCCTCAACCCGTGATGTGTTTTGCTGTTCATTATCATCAATAGAGAAGAACAGCAAGAGAATGAGTGGAGTCACTGCTGGATGTTTATGTTTTCGTCTCTCCTGCCACACTTGCACATAAAGAGATAGAGAATAGGACACGGGCGTTTGTTGCGGAATGTAGCTCCTTGACGCACGGATCCCCAGAACGACACCAATGACGCCTATAATCACCACGTTGATAATCCAAGGGCCTGATTACAAAAACAAAGTTCCTCCGAGTCGAATATTGTGTGTGATGATAAGGCTATAAGATCAGAGAGAGGGAGATATATGTCTCTTTTTTTTACATAATATAAAAAGAAAACATGAAAGGATGATGCTTGCTGCTTTCAATGAAATGGACAGCAAGGAACAGAATGAAGAGAGAAATGAAAATACATGAGAATAGACATCCCCAAAAATGACCACTCAAGTTACAGGCAGGTTTGAAGAGAACATATCAAAATTTGCTCCTTCATTCCATGATGTCTCTAGGCTTTGTTTCACTCAATCAGAATCACAAGAAATAGACAGCAAGATAGGAAAGGAACAGAAATAAACATGAGGAGTAAAATGAAATTTTCCCAACTCCAGAAGAAATTTTTTAAAAAGGATTTCAAAGAGTGGGGTGGAGGATTGGAAAGTGTTTTTCACAGAGATGTCGGGGATTCCAGTCTGCACCATGGCATTAACGATTGGCATTCTTGAGCTGATTGGCTAACCAGTCCAGTCCCTCATAAAGACCATCACCACTTGTGGCACACGTGGCCTGGATGTACCAGTTGCGGTTGCGCAGGGAATGCAGCCCCAACTTGTCGGTGATCTCAGCAGCATTCATTGCATTTGGGAGATCCTGAAAAGTTTAAAATAATACTTCAGTCACAAATGTCCTTGTCAGAGATCAAATTAGAAGGATTTGCAGAGCATAGCTCTCACAAACTACAGGCACTTTTTTGTCTTTGAAATTAAATTTTTGTATGGATAATGGCTCTTCAATAAGGATGTGTGGACTCAATGATTTCCTGAAACTTGGAACATTAAAGGCAACAAAGGAGCTTAATCCATCATAATGAACTTATACAGTGTATTTCACTTGAATTAGACACTTTCTCACTTGACTTGGACACATGTGCATGGAATTTTCCTTGTGCATGAGTGTCAAAGTAAAGTGAAAAATGTCTAACTCAAGTGAAAATCACTGCAGATGGGTCCATACATTACTTTTGCAAATTCCTTGAGTTCACAATTCACATTTCTAAACTCAATGGATAATTTTGTGAAGAGACAATAGAAATAACAAGTCATGCATTCAACACCTGTGCATAAACTACACTCCAAACACTCAGCTGCTCTCTTTACAAGAAGTGACATGTCTATTACTGACTTCCATTATAATTAAGTTGCATCATCATAGAAGTACCTTTTCCATTCCTGCTGTTACAATGAGTCATGGTAGTGACAAAATGGGACACCAAAAATAATTTGTTGATAATGTATAGAGGACATAAGCAATACACTTGCATCATAGCAACACACACAAATTCAAAATGGTTCTGTATTTTCCTTTTTTTCTACAAAGGGATGGAAAAATGGCAATGGCAAGGACAAGGACAAAGGTAAAAAGTAAAATCATGCACTTATAAGAATAGTTAATAAGAACCATCTAGAAACTTGCTTAAAAAGTGGTTTATCATTCTTTTTTCATAATTGTGTGTGTATTTACATTGTGCCTCTTCCATTCCAGAGTAAAATTAAATCAAAGCTACCAGAATTCCTTCCATGAAATCATTTGACCTTCTTGATCAAACATTTTTGTTCATCATGTCATCTTTCCCCGAGATGGGGCACAGGGGTTTATATTTCCAGGATTTCATCAAGACAGAAGGCAATGGGAAAAAATCAAGAAAAGCAAATGAGTTAGGAAAATATATTGTTGCTGTGTTGTCCCTGTGGTGTGTGTTCTTGTGCTCATTTTGTTGCATTGCCCCTCCTAGCTGGAAGCAGGCCATTCACAAAAGAGTGGGATCCTCCCTACACCTTTCAGAGTTTCACATGAATAATGGTGCTGCTGAAGCAAGATGTCCACTGAAAAATAAAGGGATGACTAACACCTTCCTATCATGCATCACATTTTGGTAGCTGGTAAGTGATGGTTAATTGGTCGGGATAAGCACCACATTACACACACTAAGAACAAACCATTTTTTCAACCACACAACAGCTCAGCTGAGAAGGCTTCCAACTCAGGTCCACAAGGTGGCAGGTAAACAATATTATTATTATTATAGATGTTGCTAGATCCACCACCAGGTGTTTTCAGAACAGGGTTATATGGAGTAAGCAGGAATTCTATGTACACCAGAGCACTGCAACAGTTCAATGGAGGAAAAGAAAAATATGGAAAAATAGAGGAGTGCTAAGGAAGAGAGAAGACATGTGACATACAAGGCATACAACCAGTGATAGTGATGTGGTTATGCTTTTTTTCATTTTATATCTGATTTGATTTTTAAGAAATTAAAAACTCTTCTGCTCTAGAAAATTCTAGCACTTGCCAACAGCATAACCTGGAATGAACATGTAGGTGTAGAGGTGGAGGGGTTGAGTTCTCAAGGAGATGCTGCAAGGTGAGAATCATCAGACAAGTGAAACAAAAGAATCTGCACTACCCCAACCCATACTGATAGTCAGGATAGTCTATAACAGATCAGGAGTATTCACAGAAGGCAAGAAGTGCACCACCCCATAACCCAAAGTTTCCTACTTGTAGTAATGGAGAGTTGTGAGGTCAAAGAAAAATAGTAACTGAAGTGCACATGCTTAAGTTCACATGATTGATGAGAGTTCTACCCAAACCAACATACACAGAACACTTAGGTGTTGCATAGAAACACCAAAGCAGTTTGCACTGGTTGAAAACTACTAGAGATCACCATGATCTTCCTCTTGACATCAAGTCCTTAATTGAACCTTCAAAATAAAGCAAATGATGCCTTTCTGGTTCCTTTCCCTTTAAAGCTTGTGTGTCTCATGGGATCATCCCAGCTCCATGGGGCTGAAGCAAGATAGTCCATAAAAGTGACTGCAAGCTGCTAGAGGAAGTGTCACTGGTTAGGTATCACACCCTGCCTCAGTGTATATATCTCCAATTAGGAGTTCTGAATTTTATCAGGTTGGTGAGAACTACTTTCCTCAACATTTTCAGCATTAAAAAAATATGGATATCATGAACTATCATAATAGCACATGCCTTTCACTAATCATAGCCTCTAGGCTCTTATAGATCTGACAGAAGAGTATAGACATCTTATAGATATAAAAAATTCAACCCACTGAATACAGACCTACTCTGCATGCCGTAGTAGATATAGGAAAATGCAACTCTGTTTTTCTGCCAAGAAACTGGTATTGAAGGCCCACAAAACTCACCAAAACTGACCAGTCTCAAGGATACATATTTTTTCAAAATTTTGTTCCATGTGATGCAAAAAAATTACTGACAAAATAGTGTCAGGGTGAAACCTAGATCATATAAAATCACAGCTTCTTAAGCCATCCTGCTATGCATTAGGGACTAAGAATATTTTAAAAATAATTTTAAAAGTGTGAGGTACCTCTCATGAATTTTCATTCTTACTTTCATTTATACTTCTTCATTTCTTGTTTTAGACCAATAACATTGAGCAGTTGCTGATGATAGCCAATGGCACCTATTTATGTGGCAGGTGCCACATTTGCATCTGATATCAATGGTTGCCTGCATACATTGGGAAGACTCCTACATAAGATGAATGAGGCTGCTCAATTTCTTCCTCCTACATAACAGATGTGGTCATATCAACAATTTTTAATTTTTTGTCAAGGAACCCCACCCAAGGAGAGCCAACGGTATCATCAGGTCAGCGAGAGAAGTTGCATGAATCACTCCATGGCAAATGTAAGTAAATGAAAAGTTAATCATGTCAAAGTTAAGTAATTTTTGCTAGTGTCTTTGAAACAATTTCATCTCATATCTTGTTCAAAACTCAGACATTCATGACTCAACTTCAATACCTTCATATCAGCATGCCAAATACTGCTAGGACCATATTCACCAACATTCATCATATTGGCTAAGATCTTGTATAACCAATAAAATTACACCCCTTTGCTTAATCAACCCTATGTTGCTCTTTTGTGATCTTTGCTAACATTCACTTCTCAGGAAGGCAAGTGAAAAGCACAGACTAGCCATTATCCTACTTGGTGAAAGTCCCATTATCCTACATTAAAATCCAAGCCTGTGCACAATCATGATGCATGGCAGAAACAACTGTTCACTTCAGTATGACACAACCATTTCTCATGGGCTCTCAGTTCCATGTGAAGGAGATGAGAACTGATGTTGCAAAAACATTCTTCAGAAACAATTTAAGCACTGACAAACTGGGCAAATTTTCAATCCAACAGAAAGCATCCTCAAGGTGTAGCAGCATCAACATCTTCCAGCACACTGGATGATGCAAGCAAAATAGTGCAGAATATTTGTAAAGGAGAGAAGGTGAATATGAGAGGATGCTTGGATATAGTGCATTGGAGTGGCAGAGGATATAATGAGTGCAGAGGGAGGAGCAAGGACAAATCATTCAGTTGATTGTACTGCATAAGTCTGAGAGTTATCAACAGTTAACAGTTTATAATAAGTATTGTACACATACAGAATGAAATGTTTCCAAATCCTAATATTCACATTTTTTTAAGTAGCTAAAAGGGGATGGCAGCACAAGTAATCAAGCAATTGTTGAAAATAAGCTTTTGTGATGATATACATACATACATCCAAGCTATGCAATTGCATGAAAAATATCATTTATATTTTATCTCTGCATGTATGTAAATGCATTTACATTCCTGGAGACAGGTGAACAAGAGCTCATACTGTGCCCAAAAAGGAGCTCATTGTACTCTTCATCCCTTATGCCACAAAAATTAAACATCTTCCCTTCCATATAGAAAGAAATCTCCATGAATCAAAATTTCTGGAGATAGAAGACAACAACTGACCTGCTTGTTGGCAAATATGAGGAGAACAGCCTCCCTCAATTCATCTTCACCTAGCATACGATTCAGTTCTTCACGGGCTTCCCCGATTCGTTCTCTGTCATTGGAGTCAACCACAAAGATGAGACCTTGTGTGTTCTGGAAATAATGCCTCCACAAGGGTCGGATTTTGTCCTGGCCACCCACATCCCAGACAGTGAAGCTGATGTTCTTGTATTCCACAGTTTCGACATTGAAACCTGCAAATGAAAGTCATCTTTTGTATGAATATTTCTACACACTCTATTAACACATTGACTCCCATACATGCCTTATGGCAGGTTTGACATGCCAAGTCTCCACCAACATGAAGTGCTTGGCAAGGACATTATGGGCATTTAAATTCCCAGCCCCAGTAGTCAATGTGGTAAAATGTATTGGAGTACATAGGTTGCTTTGAATGGAATACTGCTTTGTTTTCATATATATGAAGCATATATCCTGAATTTCTTTTAAACTAGATGCCAGTGCAGGGACAAAGCCCCTGGTGGTGAAAGTGTTAAAGTAGGAAAATTATATTCTCATAGAATTGATGAAAAAAGTTTCATCCATTAAACTGAAATCAGTGTCAAGTCAAAACAGTGATGCAAATGAGATTCTGTACAATGCCATAAGGATAAACTCACCAATGGTAGGGATGGTTGTGACAATTTCACCCAATTTCAATTTGTACAAGATGGTGGTCTTCCCAGCTGCATCAAGCCCCACCATAAGTATTCGCATCTCCTTCTTGCCAAAGAGGCCTTTGAATAGCTGAGCAAATATGTTCCCCATCTCTCATGGAAATTTAAACCACAAAGACTTAGCAAGCTGTCTCTCAACAGGCCAGGAAGGCTATTTCAGAAAACCTGAAAGAGAAATTAAGAGATCTTATAAGAGTTCAGAGAAGTCAACAACTTGAATTGGAGCCACTTCAGTAGTATCACCTGCAACCTGCTCTTTAACATAAGTCTTAAGTAGAACTAATGGGAGAGATGCTTCAAATTGTTTCATTCCTTTTTTAAAAAAAAAAAAGGCACTCAAATCAGTATTCCTGCCTTGCTGCTTACAACTGATGAACCCTGAACCCAACTAAGAAATCAAAGTTAATTTACCTGCATATACTTCATAGTTGACAATGGGTCTCCTACCATATTTCCTATCCCCCATATACAGTATTTCAATGTTGTGCAGTGTATTCAATCAACTCCAGCATCCAATAAGGAAACTACAACTGGCTTGTCTAACAGTGAGTAAGGTAAACCAAGATTGCACCAGGTTCAGTGGCCAAGTGGTTCAGCTTTCTGAGTAAAACCCAGGAGGTGAGCAGACTCTTCCTCTGCTAACAGATAACCCACCTGCTTTTACAGGTAGTGTTTGCTTAGTGTGGGATAACACACATGATGCTGTGTGCCACGTCTAAGAGATATATGTGCAGTACAACTTAAAAGCCACTTGTGCCAGTCATGGGCAACCTGTGAACTGCCCCTTAGGCCTCCTATAGGACTGTGGAGGGGTGTCCTGGCATCCAGGAAAATATCTGCCTTTTCTGTTGAATTTATTTGGAGTGATCACGTGAAACAATGTGATGAGCACAAGACTACTGACTTGTGTCCAGTAATTCATGTGCTACAAGTTATTCTCAATGTCATCAGGAATAACATGACCAATTCCTTAATGAAGAACCGCATTGATGAAACAAGAAAGAGAACATTTGAAGAAATGAGAACCTCTTCCTTCACCTGCCAATCCTAAGCTTGTCCCTGCTTCATAGTCCAGTGAATTTGACATAACTAAATTCTTTATTACCCTCTTTATTAGAGATGAACTTATAAGTTCAGACAACCCCAGGCTAAGTGCATACACTATAACATCACTTGAAAAACCACATTCTTGTCTTGATCTACTTCACTGTCCTATTCTTGTCCTAAAGAAGGTACTACCAATTGATCCCAATAAAAATCATTCATTAGCTCTGTCTGTTGGTGACCATTAATGAGAAAATCTTTCAAATTACCTTGCTACATCCTGCCTATATAGGAGACTATGGTACCATCATCTCACAATGACATGGCAACATACATTTTTTTAATTGCCAAATAAAATGCTGAGATCATCAACTTGGATCTGAAGAAAGCCTTTGGATCCCATGAGGCATAAGAAACTCAAGTTCAAATTGTATAGATACAGATTGTTGAAACTGTTAAAACAGCTTAATTTGAAACCCATTTACACTAATTATTGTAAGCATAAGCACAGATCCATGGCTCTTGTTGCATTAAGTGCTATGTATACACTTAGATTTCTTCCTTTTGTAGGTCTCTTAGTTGAGCACTTATCCCTTACAATATGCACTTTAAAAACAAGCCCCTCAGACCAAGACAATACTTACCTCAACTCATTGGTCAGAAGAATAAATGGACAAGATCAATTTCAAACCTATTTGACCCAGGACACCTTAGAGTAGGCCTGGGTTACTTCCTTTCCTCTTCATCACTCCAAGAAAACACCACAAAAAACGCTACAGGCAGCAAAAGACATGGAACTCCAGTGACCTTAACCCAATACTGTATGTACTGTCTCCTGAAAAGACTCCCTCACTGTCTCCTGAAAAGACTCCCTCACTGACAGCAAACAAGGGCCAGTTGAAAGGTTCCCCCATTTTTTCCTCAATCATGTGGTTCCTCTAAGGACAGATAAACATAAGGTTTGATATCACTGGTGTATTTTGGCTGAAAACCAAAGGAGGGCAGGGTAGCAGAACTAGACCCCACCCAAATGATATCGAGAAAATATTATTACCTTCAAGGGGGTGCCAAGCTCTGCCCTGGTGGCACCAAGGGTACGGCTGCTGCCGCCCCCCCCCCCCCCCCCCCCCACCCCGTTAAACATGCCTGTTTGATATAGTTGGCTATGGCAGTGGTCATAATTATTGGAAGTATTTAGACAGATCTCATTGCACAAATGTATCTGCTTTTTATATCCAATGTAACTTTTGTATGATTATGAATTTTTGAAGTCCTAAAAACATTTTCTAGAGACTATAAATGATTTGTGGCAATGATGTTAGTCTTGTAGCAGTTTTTAAATAGGCAAGTTGATCTTAGGATGAAAGGTTCTCTCTTTTTGATGACCAACTATCAGGGAAACCCCCAAAATCTTTTCGCCTTTGAATCATTTTATAAACCAGTTCACCCTTCTCACCAAACACTACGATTCCTGTTTTGGCCTGAGTCTTCATCATGGCATAAAAGTGATAGTGAATCAAATCTAAAGTAAATAGAAAGAGATATTCTACAGTGCTTATCGAATGAATTCACCCCCCTCTTACTATGGGCTCCTATGACTCGCCATGCTTTTCTATGACGCATCTGAGGATGCTGTAACTGCTAATAACAACTAATCAAGGTAGATGTCGCCCACGTCGCTATGTCCTGCATTCTAAGCGGTTGGGGAAAGNTATATATCCAGACCTCGCAGCATGTGCAGGGGATATCCGATTGACCTTCCCAGTCACATAATGAGGTCGATCTGTCATCGATATGTCAACCGGTCTCACCTTCTCATTCTATCCGTGTCGACATCATACAAATTGTCGATACAAATGACTAATGCTAGCAACCATTCGCGTTGGCTTAATTAAGACGAACATATTCATGAGGAACCTTTTATTCTCTCACATTCCTCTCCAGCGCACAGTGCAAAAAATCAAGAGCGGAAATCTTTAGATTTGAATACTGTTTACTCTTGGAGGCAATGGTTGACTTTACCGTAAATGTAGTATTTAAACTAAGCAAATATGTCATACCCACCGCCAGAACTCAGGGATCCTAGCCCTTGGGTTCACCCCTGGCTCGCGGTAGAGATGCGACGGGCCGTAGCGTCCAGACTCGAGTCCGCTCGTCTGCAACAGCCATATATGATAGACCTCAAGCCATATTTGCCAGAGTTATGCCCGCGGGCTTTTCTATCGGGCCGACAGAACTCAACTCTACCAGGCACTATCGTCTGCTGGAGGTGAATCGTCCAATGAGAAGCTGCATAGGAGAATATCCAGACGGCACGAGTGACGTCATGTCACTGTCCTCTCGGATTCTTCTGTCGCCTTCAAAATCTTAGAGAAATTTTATATATTTAAGCATCCCATCCTTTCCAAAAGGTGGGACTTACATTTGCTTCATTCGATAAGCACTGTACCAAAAAACTTCCATGAATTATACCCACCAGAACAGCAAATTATCTCAGCCATAGGATTGAGTTGGCTCCAACGGGAACTAATGATAGTGGGAAAATTTTCATGAACTTTTCAACTGCCCCATGGGCAGGGAAGAGCACATGAACAACTCTTCCATGCTTGTTCATCAAATGGGAGTGAATCTAGAAGGATATGGCAGGCTGTTCCATTTGGCTTCAAAAAGACAGCAAGCATCATTCTATTTCCGGTTTTCAAATGTGGCATTAATGGAAAAACAGGAGAAGCAGGTGGAATAGACATTCCTCTTGACCTAAGCTTGACATAAAAATCTGTTTCACACGAAGTACAGAAGACCTAGGTAAGCCTGAATTTCTGACTGTACGCCTACACGAGGCATGGTAGGTTGTTTCGGGTAACGCGTGCTGAGGCCTACTACAGGACTAAGAGAAGGCCCTAGTTTAAGCACAGACCATGCCTGGCTCCAGCAGTTGCACTTCCAAAACCACGCCAAAACTGGAGTGTAGCTGAAAGACATAGACTCTCTCTCTTCCACGTGAACCACATACAAACATGAAACTCACAGGAGAAGAGTAAATTAAAGAGAGGATTTTCGACAAGAGGTGAAAGAACCTTAGCTTGTTCACACTAGGAAAGAGTAGCCGGAGCCGGGAGACGAGAAGATGGCGGTTCCATCGCGGCCATCATGCCATCCGTGCCACGTAATGTAGAATGCCCTTTTCCGATTTCTCATCTTTCTCTGTGAATCATACTGTTTTTGGGGAATGCTTTGACTTGCAAATTCTATCCATCTTATCGGATATGAAGCAAATGTAAGTCCCACCTTTTGGAAAGGATGGGATGCTTAAATATATAAAATTTCTCTAAGATTTTGAAGGCGACAGAAGAATCCGAGAGGACAGTGACATGACGTCACTCGTGCCGTCTGGATATTCTCCTATGCAGCTTCTCATTGGACGATTCACCTCCAGCAGACGATAGTGCCTGGTAGAGTTGAGTTCTGTCGGCCCGATAGAAAAGCCCGCGGGCATAACTCTGGCAAATATGGCTTGAGGTCTATCATATATGGCTGTTGCAGACGAGCGGACTCGAGTCTGGACGCTACGGCCCGTCGCATCTCTACCGCGAGCCAGGGGTGAACCCAAGGGCTAGGATCCCTGAGTTCTGGCGGTGGGTATGACATATTTGCTTAGTTTAAATACTACATTTACGGTAAAGTCAACCATTGCCTCCAAGAGTAAACAGTATTCAAATCTAAAGATTTCCGCTCTTGATTTTTTGCACTGTGCGCTGGAGAGGAATGTGAGAGAATAAAAGGTTCCTCATGAATATGTTCGTCTTAATTAAGCCAACGCGAATGGTTGCTAGCATTAGTCATTTGTATCGACAATTTGTATGATGTCGACACGGATAGAATGAGAAGGTGAGACCGGTTGACATATCGATGACAGATCGACCTCATTATGTGACTGGGAAGGTCAATCGGATATCCCCTGCACATGCTGCGAGGTCTGGATATATATCCTGGAACATTAAATGCGGTATCACGAGGACTGTCGATCGAGCTAGCGCCTCTCTCTCTCTGTCTCCTGTTCCCTTGTTTATTTCCAGTGTCAGTTTCTCCTCTAAAGGGGTCCGATTGGATGTGATGGGTGCCTGGTCGTGGATGGATCGTGGATGATCATGCCTCCTCGACGAATCTCGGATCTCGTCTCACTCTTTCTCCTTCTCTCAGCTATTTCAACCACTTTGGGCCAAGGTAAGCTCTTGGTTTCTCTCTCCTCCCTGTAAGTTGAAAATCTTTCGGTGGAAGATGAACGGCGATCTCGTCGTAATTCTGATTTAAGAAAAAAAGGACCAGGATGTAATTTTGAATGATTTTAGGACAAGATTATGAACACTTTTTTTTTAAAGAATGATAAACGTTGGAAAATATTCACCTTTGCGACAGAAAGTTCAGAGTCTTTGTTCCCTGGTGCAGTGCTCAATGTTCCTCCTTCCTATCATTCCTCTGGCAGGAAGGTAAACTGCCCTTCTGAAAAAGTTAAAGGCTGCATAGTCTTTCTATGTCATACCTGTTAAGATATAAAAGTTAGGCATTTCATCTCCTGCAATAATTTATCTTTAATTATTTCATTTAAAAAAGTTGACAGTTCGCCATCTTTGGATTGCGTAAAATTGAGTACTATGGCATCGGCAAATGGAACCCGAAAGAAAAAAGCAAATGGAATGTGATGTCCATCGGTTCCCCCATGTGATTAATGCGCTCGTACCACCTAAGGAATGTTTATCAGAGTTCTTTCGTTCTAATTTCCCCGCCAATATTTAGGTAAGGTAGGAATCCGAACTAATGAACGCAACAAATGACGCCGACAAGACCGGGTCGTAGAAACGGATGGGGGAGATGAACTGAGAAGACATTCAGTGACCTCGTTGTTCAGGCATTCGAGGACTGCCAAGCTCGGCTGACAAACATTACATAATGAATGGCAGTGTTGTGAGGTTGACGTCGGCGAGACTAGGAATGGAATGTTGGAAACAACGGCGGGGAGCGGGGGAGGTGCTGCTCCATCACTCTATGCTTCCACCGTAAAAGCTTCACTTCGGAAAAAGTATAATAGATGTCTCTCAAGGTAGCTCCTGTACTTCGACACCGGTGACCTTCCGCTATTTTTGGTCCTAGCCAGGAGATGTGGTCTGAGAAGATCTCTTCCTCTGCCTGCATTGTAGAGTATTCTGGATAAAGTCATTAAGAAAAAATGCATACGCCCGTCAATTTCAAAGCTGAAGATCAGTTGTCGATTGGGAAAGTGATTACGGAAGGCTGTATGGAATGAGATGGTACAGGAATCCCGAGATGGTCCCCCGCTGTTGGAAAGGTCAACTGACATGTCACTTCGTGTTTTCGCAATGATATTTAAATTTCATTCTGGTAAGAAGCAGCTACATCAGTGTTTGACTACTGGAACCCCCTGTAGGAACAGAGAGAGAAACAAAGGAACAAGGAGAGTGGCATTGAGGATAAGAGACTGGAATTCGAGGGCATCATTCGACTCTACCTGGTTGACCACTCCAGCCTCTCAATTATACGACCGGAACACGAGAAACGCATTAGCCGCGTGTCCACCGTCGTAAATTCTCTTCTCACACACGCACGTACACACACACACCAGAAAGGGCGTATATTGACCTCTGGCCCATGATATTTTTTCTCCTTACTTTTGATAATATCTTACAGGAACCGCAATCAAGCAAAATGGATTTTAAAGCTGTCGTTCGGAGACGAAAGCGAAAAAGAGGCTGTGATTTCGGACAAGAAGTTCACTGCTTGATGTGGCAATAGAGAACTCTTCCAAAACGCTTGCCTTTGCTCTCCTTTTCCACCTTTGTCTCCCTTGTCTCCGTGATTTCATTTTGTGTTGCAGCCAAGAGTTTCCGATGCCTCTGCACGACCAGTGATTGTCGAGCCAAAGGACAAACTACATGTCGGACCAACAGCGTTTGTTACACCCAGATTCTGGATAGATCCGATGGCTCTTCGTCACAAACTCAAGGATGTATCAGGTCTTCCTACGATTATGAATTCTTCTTTTAGTACTCTAATCGAGAAGAAATTAATGGAAGGAGGGGGGGATGCTTCTCTACTATGTTATTTTCCGACACGCCCTATTTTGCACTTTAGCATGGGGGGTAAAGAGGCGTTCCTTGTTTGATGAAGAACTGAAAATAGTGCGACCTAATCGTGTTGCATGAAATTTTAATACAGGATCTAAAATGGACAGGTTCTACTGTTTTTCTAAGGGGAAGTGAGTCACCGTATTCCTTTTGTCTCTTAAGCAGGAGCCACGTGAAAAATGAACACATGACGCACGACCACAAAGAAAAGCTTTGTCCAACATTTCAGACATGGATAAGTGGGTAGTACTCACGATATCCCGAATGGCTCCCTTATCTATGCGCCACTGACTGGCTTTTTGAGTTGATTGTTTCATATCCGCTTGGCGATTGCCGTGACATGATGTCATTGGCTATTTATATGACCGAGGTGAGAGTAGGGTTGCCACCGGTCCCGTATTTTACGGGAAATCCCCATAGAAATTATGTAGAACGTTATTCCAGGATGAAGGAAAAGCGGCAGTCCAAGGTGAGAGTAGATCTGAAACAGATTCTGTTCCAGACCCGTGATGAAAGTCGCATGCCGAAGAGATGTACTCTTCGTGCACTGATAGTTAAACCAGCAAGGAGAAACGGGGTGGACCTGAAGGTTAACTACAGAAATATTTGTGGGTACGAAAGAAATGGGGGGAGAGAAATGCGGAATGGAAGGTCAAGCAAAGCAGAAAGGTTGGCTGATGCATGGCCGGACAGAGCAGAGTAGCGGGCACCAGCGTCCCTCTGCGATTCCCGATTCATACAGTATGGTTTCACCTTTAACGAACCTAACTTTCGTTCGAGATGTCATATATGGCCCAAAAGTGGGAGACCTTGGTTCCGCAATGGAGAACCATATTGTAGGCCAAAATTCCGTGAACTCCGAATCCGAAAAACTCCGAATTTCCAGAAAACAGGGGTAATAATAAAAAGATGTAAATCATCATCCCGTTTATCTTGCCATCGTGCCCGGACAACAGGATAGGAAACATCAAGCATTGAACATCATGGAGTAAACGTTCTGAGTTATCCTTGCACAGCCATAATGTTTTGCAGCTTGTCTCATGCCTTGCTTGACACAAGGCAGCCAAAAAAAAAAATTCTACCGTCGAGTGGTAGTCTCAGATAAACATTGCATTTCAAGACAGTCTCCATATACATACAAGAATCAAAGCCAGGCCAAATGTTTGTGTACCTTCTATAGTCTCTAGCGGCAGGCTTGCAGTCGATTGGAATCAGAGCTTCGGGATGATCAGGTTCTCTATGATTTCCCACTTTGCTTTAATTCCAACTGACGCAAGACGTCTAAACGATTAATTCCACAGAAACGTTGCGCATTCTTGATTCCTCTGAGTTACGTAAATTTCAAGGAGCCCACGGAGACATGACGCCTCCTATTATTTCATTCGGAGAGAAGAGGCACAGTATGATTTCTGGACACCCCGTAGACGGGATCGCAGGCAAAAATAATCAATTTTCATAATTTGACCCAGAAGCAAGTCCTGGCCGATTGCGTGTCAGGAGACAAGGCCCCGCGTGAACTACGAAAAATGGCCACTCCTCCTGTGCTGCAAAGAGGAGCTGTGCAACGGGGTACCCCCAGACAGCGTAATGACCACCACGAGCATCATCATCTCCACCCTCAAGTCCGCCTCTCCTTCGCCATCAGGTTCCCGCTTTTTCTTTAATGCCCAATAGTCTGTCACACATAAATCAGACGTTTTGCAGCCTACGATTCCTTTTTAGCGTTAGCCCATAAATCAAATCGCTTGATTTAACGCATTGAGGACCGGGTACCTGATACTTGTCCAACTGCTGGGGACCGGCAATTTTTTTACTGGACCGGGAACACGTGGAAGTTCTCCCACTACGTAACTATACGTCGGCGGTTGGCGGTCCTCGATGCGTTAATTCGAGGGGAAGGTTATCTGATTTGTGATCTGGGTCTCTGCAGAGGGCGAAAAGGAAAAAGAGAAGTTGCATCACCTCAGCGCTGAGGACATCAAGAAGCTGGTGGATCAGATAAATCCTCAAGGCCAAAATCGGGTGAATTCCAATCCTCTAAGGTTAAGCCCCTTATCTTATGGGGTCTTAGGTCTGGGGTTGACTATGATGATCGTCGTCGGATTCGCAGCTTTTTACATCCTCAGACGAATGTGAGTTGAATAATTATTTACGATTCTATTTTTTTTCTTGTTAGCGAGTCCGTTCCGTGCTTCTCGGAAAGGAACCGTCCTTTGTCCCCATGACCAGAGACTCTGTTTGGTAAGGATAGGAATGGAATTCGGGGGGAAAAAATAAATCGTGATCATATTACAGACGAAATGAGGATAGAGTATGAACCGAGGAATGCGCTGTCTCACCGCTCTGCTCATTTGATGTGTGCATGTGTCTGTTTGAATTTGACTTTTTCTCGGTTTATGCAGGCGAAGCATGCCGACGATGAAGAGGAAGTATCAGGGAGGAGCATCTGGATCCGAATATGCACATTTCATCTCGCCTCCTCCTCACAAGCACTAACCCTTGCACATTCACTCCTCGTGTCGCCTTCTAGTCCTCTCGAACTGGTCACGAATATAATATTGAGGAATGAATTTGGACGAAATCTAGCAAATCCACTAACGGTAGACGAGTGTTTCGTGGTGCTTCCTCTCCCGGTGTAAGTACCTGATTTCACGTTCTTTGATTCGAAATAAAAGCATGCAAGACCCTACTGAAGGTTCTCGAGGGGGGGGGGGGGGATGAATCCTGTGTTCCCTCTACGGCGAGGCATGTCAGGGGGAAAGGTAAAGGAAAAGCGAGAAGGAATCTCGGACAGGTCCAGTCGGAATCTCCGTCAAGACCGGTCTTCCTGGAATGGCAATTAGACCTTCTAACGCGATACTATACACTCGATCCATCCCTTCATCTCTGCCTACAGGTTTTTCGACTCCGGGGACCTTCTTCATACCATATTCGCTGATCATATCCCATTTGAGTGCCCGTAAGTGGAAAGACGAAGAAACAAATAAGGCATTCGCGCGCTCTCTTCATCTTAACGACATTAACCTTTTCGATCCCGAACTTAAATATATAAATGATGTAAAAACAATTTTTCCTTATTCAACCGTCCTCAATGAAACGCCATATACAAATTCCAAAAATACAAATTCCAAAAGAGGTCACCGAGACTCAGAAGTCTCCCAAGGCCTCAAGGCGGTGCATTCATACATAGCCCTGCAAAATGTACGGGGAAAAACTTGGTACTCGGGACTACTTGGGACTGAAAGAGTTAAACGATGGCAAATGACAAACATTGGCAAACATCGAGTTAAGGTACTCGAAATTCGCCGATCCGAAAGAAATAAGCGAGAAGATCCTATCCTCCTCGCAGAGTGCTCTTCAATTCGTGGATGAGAGAGTAGCACAATTACTCCTCGGCGAAGCGCTGGAGGGATGGAATGGACAAGACTGGAGGACAGCTAAGAGGCAAGTTGGAATAGCTCTGTCCTCAAGCGAGACGCTTTTAAGTGTACGGTAATGGGCGGGCGAAACATGTAGCATATACAGAGCGAAACATATATATTACGAAGTGCGTGTCGAGAGGCTATAGAATTCTGTAGCTTGTATCTTGCATTTGACGCCACGAGAAATGACAGGAGGAGATAGCATACGATATGAGGAACCCGTTTCCGAATGCCTCCTTGAATAGGATTTACAATTGTTGACGTCCTGGAGATTGCCTGGTTCTATTATTCCAGCCACATCCGCTCTCCCCTATCATCTCTCATGACGTCGAACTCAGACACTCTCGTCATCGCCTGTCGTATCTCATAGATACGGCATGCAGACATATACCTCGTACAGACAGACTTTTCAAACATCTTTGGTATATGAAATAGGTCGCACTCTGTACTCCATTTTTTTAATTCTAATTTTCACAACCGCACCTAATTTAGTAAATTTTTGAAATGTTAATATCGATCTCTAGCGGGTGTGGGAACCCCGATTCCAGGTGAATGCGTGGTCAGTGCACAGCCCGGGAGCTTTCCCTGAAATACCGGGTTGACATTCTGCTTTGACTCAATGTTGAACAGATGTTGCTATGAGATATTGGTCCCACGTCCAAGTATCCCTAGGGCCACTATTGACCTATTGGGCTATTGAACCACATCAATTCGGTACCTACCCACTGTGTTAGGATTGCAGTACTTGGAAAGTTTGCAGCAACAAATACTTATGCTCGTATTTTACGTGCTTGAACAGTCACACAACCCATAATAGCTGGACTTATCCCATAAGGATATTCAATGTCCTTCCATTTCGAAGAGAAAGTCTTCAGGTAAGTGTCTCCTATTCACTGTCCCTGTTCCTTTCAATCCATCCTATTGGTGTGTTAAACGATTCGACTGAACACTTGAAGGACCGAACCATCTCAACAGTGGCCACCTAAGAGTCCGTCCATCGTCCATCAAATCTAATACTTTCTCTTTAGAAAAAAACCCTTATCAAAAAGACGCTTCTTAAAATGGGTGAATGCAATTCTGACGGATCGACTGAATTTCACGCATGAAGAAATCGGAAATATAAATCCCCAGGATGAGGATTTAGACTCTCCCGGGTCCCCCTTTGACCTTTCTTTCTCCGGGGACAACCACCCTCGGCTGCTAAAAATTCACGACCGCGTATCTTGACTTCGGTTGTCATCACGAATGCAAAAAAACGAACGCAATTCCTTCTCACGAGGTCACCGCGAATCGATTCAGGGCCGGGACTCGGGCTGTCAAGCCGATGGGTTTGAGGCTGTCAACCCAGCTTAGGGCTGTCGAGCCCACGCACTTTCTTCTCTCAAATCCATTTTTCCTGTTCCACAAATGAAGCATGTAATCTGGACTTGAAAAAAAAAAACGAAATCGTGCCCCTCGGCTCTCCGTCTGAAAGGGTTCATCAGGTAGTACCGATAAGAATTCAAATCGATCGAGCGGGGAATTTTTAAGCCAACGGAAGACTTCGAGAGCAAACATCCAGAGAATGCAATTAGTATGGAATCGGTGAAGACTTTTTCCCGACAGGCACGGAAAAATGTAAACGTCCCTTTCCAGCATTCCTTCCATTCCGATTTTGCGCCGTTTCACGGATTTCTTCATCAAACTAGGAAAAACCAACGTTATCCGAAGGACACGTGAGAACCCAACGACCGGACGAAGAGCAGCTGTCACGCCGGTTCCCCCGCTGCAGTTCCCAACCGACTGTGACATTGCCAGGAACGCGTCGATGTCGGCGCGACGCCGTGCGACGTCTGGGCTTCTGGATGGCGGGCCGGCGGTCCGCGATGGAGGAGGCGATAAATCCTACAAGAGCCACATTCTTCTTCCGTTATCTGACTCTCTATCTAGATGCATTCTAATTCGGTATCGCGTCCAGACGAAAATTTTAATATGCAGCAGCATCTTATCTAGAAATCTTCTTTAAAAATATATTTTACCTGTACGGGGAAAATGAAGAGAAATGGGGGGGAGATAGAAAAGAAGAAATAGAATCCGTGTCTAAGAAAAGACGGTGTTGCGGGATCTTCTCGGCTGGAGTGACGAATAACCAGTTCTCTCCCGCTGATATATCGCGGTTTCCGATTCCTGCACCGACTTGCGTTAAGGAATTTACCAGTTTGCTACCGGAACGTTTCCAAAAGCGACTCGAGTCGAGCGTGATACATATATCATTCGCGATGAAAATTTGGCGGAGTTTGAAGCAACGGTACTCCGCGACGTTGACGAATGGCTCTTGCCGACACACGACAGACTTCCAGGCGATAAGTGAAGCGATAAGTGGCCCCATTTCTTCCTCTCGGGAGGCTCGCCAGAAAAATCCCCGAGGAACCCGAGCCATCTGCACGGCGACGCGGCGACCGCTCCCCCTACCGACCCCGTCACGGGAATCACGAAGCGGCGACGAAGGGGATGCGGAGAGAGGAGAGAGGAGAGAGGAGAGAGGAGGGAGGAGGGAAGAAGGAGAGGGAGAGGGAGAGGGAGAGGGAGGTAGGACGCATGGCGGTAGCGGGGAGGAGCACGTGGAGACCCTCGGCACCCAGTCGCACCGCAGTCACTGTGCTCCCTGCCGGCGCTCAGCATGTGGCCCGCGTTCAAGTACTCTTCTCTCCTTCCGATCTGCCTCGCTCTCTGCTTCGCGTCCTCGCTTGCGCTCGAGGACGAGGTCGTCGACGACGAAACGCAATCGGATCAAGGTGGGACTTACCTTTCGGATTTACCTAAGGGTAGTGTCGGTTCCGCGATTCACCGAGCGATGTGGTCGTTCTCGTGCGATCGAAGCATCCGAAGGGAAACTCTCGAAATAACCGAGCGTCGAATCGAATGGCTTCGTTCAGACACGATATAGAAGAAAAAGTATCGGGAGTGGGATTTCTTTTCGAAATCTCCGAATTTCCAAATTATCTTCCGAACGCGTCGTAATCATCTTCACGGGTTAGGGATCGGTCGGAATCCCCGATTAAAATCGGTCGCGTGCAACTGCCCTCGAACTTTCTGTCACCGCCCTTAAAACATGCCAGCGAAACGAGAAAATTGCCTGGAAGAAAAATGTCGTCGATTCCCTTGGAGCCGGCGGGGGATGCTCTGTGGCCGATGACGCTAACATTCGTGTTATTGGAATGTCATCTTTATCTGGCTCTCCGGCGATAGGAAACTTTTCGTCATCGTGGCAGGGCGACGAAGTAAGCCAGGAAAAGTACGAGGATACATACATTGTATCGATGTACTATATCGTAACATGTCCTACACATATTTACACCAGCCGAAGCAGACATCGGGAGCTGCCAGCTTTCTCTGCAACCTTGGGAGTAGGTTCTGGTTTCCCATAAAACTCTTTCGAATCATAAAAAAAAAATTGTCCTAAAATTCGGGGAATGTTTCGTGCGACCGGATGAATCCGACGACATCAGACGAGATCAGACGAGATTATCGATCGATTTGAGACGATCGCACGATTTACGATTCCGCAGAGAAAGCTGGCAGCTCCCGATGTCATATATGGCCCAAAAGTGGGAGACCTTGGTTCCGCAATGGAGAACCATATTGTAGGCCAAAATTCCGTGAACTCCGAATCCGAAAAACTCCGAATTTCCAGAAAACAGGGGTAATAATAAA